TAGGGTTCAGGGGGCTGTGGGCTAGGACGAGCGCGAAGAGAGGTCTCTTGAAGAATATCATGGTGGCTCGTGGGAGGTCACGGCCTCCAGACTGGCCGTGCCCAGCTCCCGACGGCTTGGTGTGGAAGCTGTTGGGGCCCAAACCTCCCAAGGGTGCAGCTGCGGCTGCTGCAGAAGCAAAAGCATGGTCGTGAGCAAGCCGAATAGGGTTTAGGGTTTAGGGTTTTTAGGGTTTAGGGTTTTTAGGGTTTTTAGGGTTTTTAGGGTTTTTAGGGTTTTTAGTGTTTTTAGGGTTTTTAGGGTTTCTAGGGTTTTTAGGGTTTTTAGGGTATTTAGGGTTTCTAGGGTTTTTAGGGTTTTTAGGGTTTTTAGGGTTTAGGGTTTAGGGCTTAGATGGAGGACATCAGCGCCGCCTGCGCCGCAGAGATGGGGGGGGTGGCGGGGAGGCAGCCTTCCGCTCGCTGAGGATGCGGCTGCGCACAAGACATGGGTGGCAAGCGCTCCCGTTTGGGGTTTAGGGTTGAGGGTTTGGGGTTTGGGGTTTAGGAGGTTTTTGGGGTTTGGGGTTTGGGGTTTAGGGTTTAGGGTTTAGGGTTCAGGGTTTAGGGTTTAGGGTTGAGGTTTTGGGTTTGGGGTTTAGGGTTTAGGGTTTAGGGTTGACTTAAGTTGCTAGGTCCATTATTCCCCCTCGCAACTTCCTCCTTCGTCGAGCCATGGGTCGATAGCACCGGTTAAAGCACTTGCCGTGACGCAAGTTCAGGATGGTCCAGCGACCAGACCAGAGGTTAAGGGTTGCAACTCTCGCCAAAAGCAACCTGTAGCAAGCGCATTCTTCAAGCAGCGTGCAGGGTTTAGGGTTTCGGGTTTTGGGGGTTTAGGGTTTGGGGCTTAGGGGTTTTACGGAGTTTTCGGGTTTAGGGAGTTATAAAGGGCTTAGGGCTTTCAGGGTTCAGGGTTTAGGGGGTTTAGGGAGTTTTAGATTTTAGGGTCTAGCTTTTAGGCTTTAGGGGGTATCGAGTTTAGAGTTTAGGGCCTTAAGGAATTTCAGGGTTTTACGGCTTCAAGGAGTTTTGAGTTTTAGGGTATAGGGGTTTAGGCTTTAGGGTTTTTACGGAGTTTTACGGTTTAGGGCTTCAATTAGGGTTTAGGGTTTAGGGTTTTTAGGGGTTAAGGTTTAGGGCTCTGGGGGAGTTTTAGGCTTTGGGGCTTCAGGGAGTTTTAGAGTGTAGGGCTTTAAAGGTTTGGGGGCGGTTTAGTGTTTAGGGCTTAGGGTAGGGTTCAGGGCTTTAAGGAGTTGTAGGTTTTATGGCTTTGAAGGTTTAGGGCTTAGTGCGTTTAGGGAGCTTTAGGGCTTAGGGCTTTGGGGAGTTTTAGGGTTTAGTGGTTGATGGGTGTAGGGGCTTAGGGCTTTGAGTGAGTTTTAGGGCTTAGGGTTTAGGGGTTTAGGGGCTTTGGGGTTTAGGGCTTAAGGCTTTTAGGGAGTTTCCACCCCTCCCGAAGGAGCTGACAGGGTACCAATACGATACGATGGTTGCTATCCCTTGTGGGTACTCTTACGGGTCGTTACATGGTCCCTTAATCTGTCCCCTTACCTTCTTGAAAGGGTTCTGATGTATGGGCCCTTGCGTTGTGCAAGGTATGGCACTTAAAGGATCCCCATTTACGGGCCCCTTAGTATACCCATGAAACTACCAGGGTGGCAGGCCGAGGGTTCAAAACTTCAGGGGCAGTTGAGAGATTTCCATTCCAAAACTTCAGAGGCAGTTGAGAGATTTCCATTCCTTATTGTGGGTGTGCTGGTTCGTGCTTGGGGTGTAGGAGTTAGGGTTTGGGGCGTAGGGTTTCGGCTTTAAGGTTTAGGGCTGAGGGCTTAGGCTTTAGGTTTTAGGGTTCAGGGTTAAAGGTGCTCAGGGATTTAGGGATTCGGGTTTGGGGCGCAGGCCATGATGAAGCGCATCGACCAGAGCGCATGGACTTCCACGACCAATGTGGATGTGTGAAGACGCTGAGCGCTGGCCGTGGGTTTGGGGTTCGGATCCTAAGCCCCGAAGCCCAGAAGCCTCCAAGCCCGTAAACCCGATGCGCCGTAGCAGGTCCTTGAGCTCTGGGCCCCTCTAAGAATCCTAAGCCCGAAGCGCTTGGGTCCCTGACCCCTAAAACCCGAATCCGTGGTAAGCCCTAAACCTTCAGCCCTCAAGCCCTAAAACCCTAAAACCCTAGAACCCTCGAACGCTAGAGCCCTGGAACCCTAGAGCCCTAGAGCCCTAGAACCCATTAGAGCCCTAGAGAGCCCTTTCGAGTCCATATTTCAGCCCTCGAGCCCTGGAACCCGAAGCCCCCCCCAAGCCTCTAAACCCTAAACCCTAAACCCTAAACCCTAAACCCTAAACCCTAAACCCTAAACCCTAAACCCTAAACCCTAAACCCTAAACCCTAAACCCTAAACCCTAAACCCTAAACCCTAAACCCTAAACCCTAAACCCTAAACCCTAACACCTAAACCCTAAACCCTAAACCCTAAACCCTAAACCCTAAACCCTAAACCCTAAACCCTAAACCCTAAACCCTAAACCCTAAACCCTAAACCCTAAACCCTAAACCCTAAACCCTAAACCCTAATCCCCCCCCATTATCACAGGCCCTCCCCAAAGCCTCTTCCGGACTTCAGGAAGTTTGGAGGCCGCTGGAAAAAGAGAGAGAGCTGTGTTTCGGGGGGGCTCGGGTTTAGGGTTTAGGGTTTAGGGTTTAGGGCTTAGGGTTTAGGGTTTAGGGTTTAGGGTTTAGGGTTTGGGGTTTAGGGTTTAGGGTTTAGGGTTTAGGGTTTAGGGTTTAGGGTTTAGGGTTTGGGGTTTAGGGTTTAGGGTTTAGGGTTTAGGGTTTAAGGCTAGCTTCTTGTTTTTGCTTTGGGCTGTTTTTTGGGGGGAAGCGTGGGAAACGGCGGAAGGGGAGGGGGGGGGGGTCGTGGGGCTTAGGGTGCAGGATTTGAAGGTTTAGGGCTTAGGATAAGGCCTTGGGGGTTGGGGGGTTGAGGGTTTAGGGTTTAGGGTTCCGGGTTTAGGGGTTCACGGTCTGAGGGTTCACTATGGTTTAGGGATGAAAGCCCCGAATTGCCCGAAGCTCTAGCACCCTCAGCCCTGAAACCCTAAACCTTAAAACCCTAAACCCCACAACCCAATAAAACCCCGAAACCCGAATAACGTCCTAGAAGAACCCCATAAAAACACCAAAACAAGCCCTGCAAAACCCCTATAGAACCTACAAAACCCGTATACGCACCTTAAAAACCCTAACGCCCCCATAAACCCCTTTAATAATCCCCTCAACTTTCCAACTTTTATAAAAGCCCTTGCAAAGGAACATATAACACCCCCTAAGCCCTAAGCCCTAAGCCCTAAGCCCTAAGCCCTAAGCCCTAACCCTAAGCCCTCAGCCCTTAGCCCTAAACCCCAAACCCTAAACCCCAAACCCCAAACCCTAAACCCCAAACCCTAAACCCCAAACCCTAAACCCTAAACCCTAAACCCCAAACCCTAAACCCCAAACCCCAAACCCTAAACCCCAAACCCTAAACCCCAAACCCTAACCCCAAACCCCAAACCCCAAACCCCAAACCCCAAACCCTAAACCCCAAACCCTAAACCCTAAACCCCAAACCCCAAACCCTAAACCCCAAACCCTAAACCCTAAACCCTAAACCCCAAACCCTAAACCCTAAACCCTAAACTTCCACCATCCTTGGGCGCGCGGAACGTCGGCTCGCAGCGCGGGGACTGAGCGGCGGGACCCTGCGGATGGCCCCTGAGGCCCCCCCGGGTTTAGGGTTTGGGGTTTAGGGTTTAGGGTTTGGGGTTTGGGGTTTAGGGTTTGGGGTTTAGGGTTTAGGGTTTAAGAGCCCCCTCGTTTTAGGGGCTCTTTGAGTTTTTTGTTTTGTGGTTTTTGTTTAGGGTTTTAAGGGAATTGAGAGGGTTTTAAGGGCCTTGAGGGTCTTTTTGGGGGTTTAAGGGTTTTTTTTTGTGGGGTTTTTTAGGGATTTTGGGGTTTGCTTAGGGTTTTCAGGGTTTTCAGGGTTTAGGGCGCTTTTGGGGGTTTGGGGGCTCAGAGTTTTAGGGCTTGAGAGGATGCTGGTCTTGAGGTTAGGGGTTTCAGGGTTCAATGCTTTAAGGTTGGGGTTTTGAGGGTAAAAGGGGCTTAAGGGTTTTGGGCTGTAGGGGTTCGTTGTTTAGGATTTGGGGGATTTACGGTTTTGTGTGTGTTTTTGGGTTCAGGGAGTTAGGGCCTTTGGGCCCTATCAACCCAGAAGCTCCTAAGCCCCTAAAGCCCTAAAAGACCCGAAGCCCTAAACCCTCACCCTAAACCCCAAACCCTAAACCCTAGCCCTAAACCTTAAATCCTAATTGAGCTTTGAAGGGGTTCAGAAATTTAGGTTTCTTCTCTGAGAATCCTAAACCCCCTTTAAATTCCCTAAACCCCCCTAAAACCCCCCTAAAACCCCCCAAACACCCCCTAAAACCCCCTAAAACCCCCTAAAACCCCCGAAAACCCCCGAAAACCCCCTAAAACCCCCTAAAACCCCCTAAAACCCCTAAAACCACCTAAAACCCCCTAAAACCCTTTAAAACCCCCTAAAACCCGCCTAAACCCCCCAAGCCCCCTGAGCCCTGAAGAACGGCTTCTCACAGAAGAGCCCCGTGCCCCGATGAGCTTCTCTTCCAAACCCTCCCAACCTGGGTTTAGGGTTTAGGGTCTAGGGTTTACGGTTTAGGGTTTAGGGATTAGGGTTTATCCTAAGAAACCTGGGCTTTGGCGTCCAGAGACCGCGTCCCTGAAGGCGCTATGGGCTCCCTCCAAGGGTCGTTACCTGGTCCCTTCATGTGGTCCCCTACCTCCTTGATGAAATTCTAAGTTCTGGAACTCTTGGACTGTATCGGGTATATAGGGGGTTCCCATTTTAAGGGACCATGCAATCTCTCTAAGATGGCCGCAATCTTCCAGGTATTGCCATGGGCATCGATGAGTGGTGGAGTTCGATCTTGCCAGATCCTGAGCCACGCGGTCAGTTCCCTGAGTCATGGTCCATTTGGGGCTTGGGGTTTACGTAGCCGAAAACCCACAGGTAAGAGGCCTCGTTTTTCAATAGTAGGGCCCGCAAAGGGAACTGACCACATATCCATGGAGCCCAATAACTCTACATATGGTGCAGTGTTGCCTTGAGAAGTCCGAAACTCTTAAGACTGCAATATAGGGCTTAGGGTTTAGGGTTATGGTTTAGGGTCGGAATAATCACTAATAGTATTCCCCTGGAGTCCCAATATAATAATACAATCATAACCCCCTAAAACCATATTCTACTTATTAAGGCCCCTCAACCCTCCACGCTTTAGGGTTTAGGGTTTTGGGTTAGGGTTTAGGGTTTAGGGTTTAGGGTTTAGGGTTTAGGGTTTAGGGTTTAGGGTTTAGGGTTTAGGGTTTAGGTTTTAGGGTTTAGGGTTTAGGGTTTAGGGCAACGCTTCTTGTGGAGCTGGTCAGGCAATCGGTTTTTCAGAATCCGCAGCAGTGGGACACGCGGAGGCCGACGTGCCTACCGTGAACGCGTGCAACCAGCTCTCCTACAGCCCCCTAAGTAATACGAACCCAGGCGAAACCCCTTACCCCCTAACCCCTAAACCCTCGTCCCTAAACCCTACAACCTCCTCCCTGACGCCCCCCCCCCCTCCCCTAAACCCTAACCCCAAACCCTTGTAACTTGTAACCCTAAACCCCAAACCCTGAACCCTAAACCCCAAACCCGAAACCCGAAACCCGAAACCCGAAACCCGAAACCCTAAACCCTAAACTCTAAACCCTAAACCCTAGCCCCCAAACACAGCTCTCTCTTTTTTCCTATTGTGGACGCGCCCCCTACGCCCCCCCCCGCCCCCCTAGACCCTAGACCCTAGACCCTAAACCCTAAACCCTAAACCCTAAACCCTAAGCCCTAAACCCTAAACCCTAAACCCTAACCCTAAGCCCTAAACCCTAAACCCTCGCCAAGGAGCGCTTGCTCCGGGGAGCCCGTGCAGTCCTCCATCGATGGCTCCTTGTGCGGGCTCCTGGGCTTTCGTTGGGGTTTGGTCGCTTTGTTTTAGGGGGCTAACAGGGTTTAGGGTTTAGGGTTTAGGGTTTAGGGTTTTAAGGCTAGGGCATGGGGGGGTCGAGGGGGGTATGTTCTGTACCCCAAACCCCAATAAAGAGAGTTCCTGTGTGACGTAGAAGCGCTCACGATGGTCGGGTTTCTTGGTTGTTGTTTGTGTAAACCCTAAACCCTAAACCCTAAACCCTAAACCCTAAACCCTAAGTGCCGGCTCCAGAAGCATGAGAATCCAACATGAAAAACTGATAAGGAGAGATGTTCTAACATACCCCGGGCATACCCCTTAAGGTAAGATCCTTCCGTCTATTCTCCTTTTACAGATTAGGGGGCCATACTGTCTGCTTAAGACTCCCCCCAAAAAACGAAAACAAATAAATAAAGCAAAAAAAGTAATCCCCTTATTGCCCTTACAGGGAAGAACATGTTTTTTGGGGTTCTTAAGCAAACAGTACTTATGGGTTTGGGGTATGTCGAATTTTTCCTAGAGTTGGTGAAACTTGACCTTGTTGTTTCGACCTCTCCACCCCCAAGACACTCCGCTCCACCCCTAAACGCCCCACAAACTTCTAAACCCCTCCACACCTCTCTAAACCCTAAACCCTAGACCCTAAACCCTAAACCCTAAACCCTAGACCCTAAACCCTCAAACCCCCTAAGAAGAGCCCTTCAGGTCTGTCGACCGCGTTGAGGTGCCGCCGCAAGATGGCGCCAGCACGGCGATCGTGGAGGCGGGGCTGCGGGCGTAAGCAGCTTTAAGGGTTTTAGGGTTTTTAAGGATTGAGGGTTTTTAGGGTTTTTAATGTTTTTATTTTGGGTTTCGACGGGTTTTTCTGCTTTTTTTGGCATTAGAGGTTTTCAGGGTTTTTAGGGTTTTGGGTCTTTGATCGGTTTCTAGGGCTACCGTTCTATTTTTTTTGCTTTTAAGGGTTGTTTTAGGGTTTTATTAGAGGGCTTGTGGGGATTTTGAGGTTCTTGAGGGCTTTTAGGGATCTTGGTGCTTTAGAGGGTTCATGGGGATTTTAGGCTCTTGAGGGCTTTTCGGGATATTCGAGCTTTAGAGGGCTTGTAGAGATGTTGAGGCTTTTTTTGGTTTTTTTTGCAGAGCTTAGGGGGCTTTTGGGGGCTTTTGGGGGCTTTTGGGGGCTTTTGGGGGCTTTTGGGGGCTTTAAGGGGAGGGTTTAGGGTTTAGGGTTTAGAGGGTTTTGGGCTTGGGAATTCGGAGTTTAGGGCTTATGCGGTTCAGGGTGTATAGGGTTTAGGGCTCATGGGGTTCAGGGTTTTGGGCTTTGGGTTGAAGCCTTAAAGCTGCAAACCCCTAAGCCCCAGAACCCTTAACCCCCCCCCCTAAACCTTACGCCTGTAAACCGCTGAGCCCACCCCAAACCCCCAAACCTTAAAACCCTAAACCCTGTGTAACCCTAAGCCCTAAACCCTATACAAACCCTACAACCCCAAACCCTAAAACCCTCCCCCGCCTAAACCCCAAACCCGAAACCCTAAACCCCCCAACCCCATAAACCCTAAACCCTGAACCCTGAACCCTAAACCCTAAACCCTAAACCCTAAAGCCCAAGCCCTGAACCCCAAACCCCCCAACCCGGTAAACCCCTTCAAGCGCCCTCAATGCAGCCAGGCCAGTGAGCGCGAGGTAGTCGAGGACTCCGGGAGTCAGGAGTTTAGGGAGTTCAGGGAGTGTAGGCAGTTCAGGGAGTTTAGGAAGTTTAGGGAGTTCAGAGTTCAGAGTTTAGGGTTTAGGTCTGGTTCGATGCCCGGAGCGTCGGCACAGGCGGTGTCATCCACAAGAACGTTCTGAAAGCTTGGCATCGATCGGCTGCAAGCGGCCGTCAGAGGCGCGGCCGTGACTCGCCTCATGCCCCACAACAGAGAATTCTCTCCGAGTGGGCGCATCAGCGTGAAACTGGCGGTCTGTGCCCGGCCGAACCATCCGGAATCAACGGCCATGATGCTTTCCGTGGCTTGCTCAGCCCAGACTCACCGGGCTTTCTGCAGGGCTATGGACAAGTACCACTGGACTGCGCAGAGTTCCGGATCCCTTGGAGGGCAAGCCATGGGCTTGTGAATGCCGGAAGAGCAAGGTGCTGTTTCAGGGTTTAGGGCTCAGGGAGGTTAGATTTAGGGAGTTTGGCGTGTTTTGGGCTTTTGGGCACGTGAGTCCTAAGCTGAACACAGGGACCAACGCAAGAGTCCTTGCGCCTCAGGGTTCTGATGCTGCCTCTGACTTCTTTCGGGTGGTATCCTATATGTATACCTGGGCACATGTTTAAAAGCAAAGAAGTAGATGCGATATATACACACAGAGATAATCGACTCCATATGTATATGCATCTGTGTGTATACATACACATATACACTGTTTGCAGAACCCTCAACCCTACACTCCCTGAACCCTCAGGTCCTAAAACCCCTAAACCGCGCGGCCTAAGGTGCTCCCAAAAGGCAAAACAAGATGGCAAGTGCAAGCCTGCTGAAGGGTTTACGGTTTAGGGTTGTTACAGACTGGGTAAGACTGAAAGGGGGCAGCACGTGCCAAGGCTCGTCAGCTTGGAGGTGCAGCTTCAGCTGCACCGAGCGTGGCCCCCCACCTGCCGGTCCGGGGCCCCCCCCCCCCCCCCCCCCTGTGCCCCCCCCCCCCTCCCCCCCCCTTTCTCCTCCACCCCTCCGCGCCTTAAAACTCCCGGAGGACCGCCAGGAGGCCGTGGAGGAGCCTGAAGAACTGGAGGAGCTGGCTCGGGGCCCCTTTCTTCTTTCATTATATATATATATATATATATCTATCTATCTATCTATATATATATATATATACATATATGTACACATACATTCAGACATACATACATATTTGTTTTCTTTCTGATTAATATATATATATATATATGTATATATGTATATATGCATCTATATATATAACACGCACATATATATATATATATATGTATATATATATATATAAGGGCCCCCTGGGTTTAGGGGTTTAGGGGGTGTCCGGGGGGGTTCTTTGGGTTCTTCAGGGGCTTGTTCGGGCATTTTGGGGTTTCAGAGTCTTGCGGCGAGGCCGCGAAGCCGCGCTTTAAGGGTTTAGGGTGTAGGGTTTAGGGTTTGGGCGCTGACTCCCGTCTTCGGGGTTTGGGGCTTAAGGTGAAAAGGGGTGAAGGGGCTTCGGGGGCTTAGGGTGTAGGGTAGAGGGTTTAGGGTTTAGGGTTTAGGAGAACAGGGGAACTAGGGGGGAGCCTCGACTCCCGTAAACTCCTAAACCCCCAAGCTGCAGTTGGCTCCATCAAGGTTCAGGGAGGTCTATAGGGTTTAGGGTTCCTATAAAGATGATCGTATTTGGGGGGGGGGGGGGTGCATCGAGGGTTCCCCTATTTCGAGGAGTCCAGGGTCGGTTTAGGGTTTAGGGTTGAAACGCCTTAGTGACTTGGCGGCCTTGAGAGGCGTTTCTGGGGTACTCGCTACTAAAAGCCCCAGGTTTTGGAACCCTCAAAACTCAGCTGCAAAGCCTAAGCTCTAGCAAGATCAGGGAACTAGGGCCAACGCGTAGCACATCAGCTTTAACCCTCAAGGCCGTCCCTAAACTCCTTTGAACCCTATAACTCAGAAAGCCCAAGGCAAACCCTAAACCCTAAACCCCTGCAACCCCGAACCTTGAGAACCCCACGCCCAACCTGCCCCCCCCCCTTCCCCCAACAAGTGAGGTCAAGCCCGAGATGCTGGAGGACACGGGGGGGTGGTCGAACACGCATAGGGGACCTCTAAGATAAACCCCCAAACAGTAGAATTCCCTGAGAATAAGGACCCCAAAAAGGTACCCCCCCCCCCCCCCCCACAGCTTGAATCCTACACAATTCGGATCGTTCTCAGGGGGATACGGCAATTAACAACGATCGGTTTTGGGGGATGTGCCCTTGAACTAGTTAAGGGCCTCCGGGCGAAGGTTTTAGGTTTTAGGGTTTAGGGTTCATACGGCAGGAGGTTTTGCTCAGGGTACATTTGGCAGTGCAAAAAGCCTACGCAAGCAAGCTTTTGCAATTACTGGATGGCGACGACAGGTGGCTATCAAGGACAAGACGGCAAATTTTCGACTGCGCTGCATGAGTACGTGACAGTCTCCATTGTATACTGTGCGGTGCATGGGCCGGACAATCCTGAGCTGCCTCCCAGCAACAGTGTCTGCCTCCTCACAAGTGAAACAGATGACGCGGAAGTCGGCCTTTGACAGGTGTTTACGCGCGCATGAGGCCCGAAGCCCCAAGACCCAAAACCCTAAAACCCCGAAACCCCGAAACCTTAAACTCTAAACCCTAAAACACTATGCCCTGCACTCGACACACCCTGAGGTCTTCGACCATAGACCCTGCCGGGGGCTTTGTTTGAAGGCTCTTGGGATACTTGGGATCTGCCTACGGGGAGGATCGATGCTACTAACCTGTAGGTAGATTTGGGCTTTGGGGTTATGGCTAGATGGTTAGAGGGTTAGAGGGTTAGAGGGTTAGAGGGTTAGAGGGTTAGAGGGTTAGAGGGTTAGAGGGTTAGAGGGTTTAGGGTTTGGGGTTTAGGAGGGTTTAGGGGATACTACTTCTAAGGGCGAACCTTCAAGTATAGGGCTTAGCGTCTGGTGGTTTAGGAGGGTCAGGGGTATAGTTGCCTTGTTACAAATGCCTCAGATACCTAAACCCAAAACCCAAAACCCAAAACCCAAAACCCAAAACCCAAGACCCAAAACCCGGAACCCTGAACCCTAAACCCAAAACCCAAAACCCAAAACCCTGAACCCTGAACCCTAAACCCTAAACCCAAAACCCTAAACCCTAAACCTAGACCCTAGACCCTAGACCCTAGACCCTCTACCCTCTAGACCCTAGAATGTAGACCTAGACCCTAGACCCTGGACCCTAGACCCTAGACCCTAAACCCCAACCTCCCCCCAGGAGTGGCGAAGGCACACCATCATGGAGCATCAAAAGATGGTCCAAGAGAGCCGGCACGCACCCAAGCTCGGGGGTTTGGGTGTTTTCAGGGTTTGAGGGTTACGGGTTACGGGATGAAGGGCTCAAGGGTACCCACCTAACCCCCCTGAAGCCAGCAAATCCGTAAACTTCTAAACCCCTAAAGCCCCTAACGCCTCAACCCTCAGCTTTCCCTCCTTGTTGGCTCTGCAATCAACCCTAAATCCTAAATCCTAAACACTAAACCGCAAACCCCAAACCCGAAACCCTAAACCCCAAACCCCAAACCCCAAACCCATAGCCCCTTCACCCATAACCCTAGACCCTAAACCCCAAGCACAGGCATTTGCACTGCGAAAGCTACTCCCATCATGGGCGCGGGCCCCAGTGGCCTTTCAAAACTCGCTGGTTCGATTCAAGGCTGGCTTCTCTTTGAAGCCTTCGGGGTTTAGGGTTTAGGGTTTAGGGTTTAGGGTTTAGGGTTTAGGGTTTAGGGTTTAGGGTTTAGGGTTTAGGGTTTAGGGTTTAGGGTTTAGGGTTCAGGGTTCAGGGTTCAGGGTTTAGGGTTTAGGTGGTACTTGAAGGTTCGTAGGTAGTTCTAAGTGGGAATACAAGTGAGATAACCATGATTAATGTTCTGGTTGGAACTTTGTAAGGGGTACTATAGCCCTTAGAACTGGTCCATGCCCTCAAGAAAAGACCTTAAGCCCTTAAAGCCCTTGAAACCCTTGAAGCTCTTAACGCCCTTAAAGCCCCTTAAGCCTTTATAGGCACAAGCTCATACCCCTAAGCCCCCAAACCCTCAAAACCCCCAAAGCCCCTAAACCCCCTAAACCCTCTAACCCCCCCAACCCCCCTAAACACCCTAAACCTCCTAAACCCCCTAAACCCCCTAACCCCCTAAACCCCCTAAACCCCCTAAACCCCCTAAACCCCCTAAACCCCCAGGTGGCCTCTTCTTTTGTTACCCGTATACCATATTGTAGCCCCTAGGCACCCTAATAAGAACCCCTGAAAACAGAAACCCTACTTACAGAGACCACCAAATCAATATAGCCAGCCCCAAATCCCCAAACGCGTAAGCCCCTAAACCTCTAGAAGCCCCACCAAAAACCCTAAAACCGATCCTTTAGAAATACCATAAAACCAACTGCAGACCCGTACCCCGAAACCCCAAACCCAACCCCCCAAACCCTAAACCCTAAACCCTAAACCCTGAACCCTGAACCCTTAACCCCCAGACCCGAACCTCTCCCCCCCACCATGTCTCGGAGCCTCTGCTCGATTTCCTCAGGGCCGCCAACCGTTACGGAGAGATCTCCCACCTGCCTCCCTTCGAAGAAGGCCCCTGTTAGGGCTTAGGGGGGCTGAGAGTCCAGGGGTTTTGGGGGGTTTTGGGGGGTTTTGGGGGGTTTTGGGGGGTTTTGGGGGGTTTTGGGGGGTTTTGGGGGGGTTTGGGGGGGTTTTGGGGCGCTTTGGGCAATGTTAGGGTTTAGGGATGTTAGGGGTTTTCTGGTTTTGGGCGGTTGGGGTCTATTGAGGGCGTTACGGGCGTTTTTAGGGCTTCGGGGCTTAGCGTTTGTGGCCTTGGGGTTTCGGGCTTCGGGCCACCACCCTCAAGCAATTGTGTTTTTTTTTTGGAGTGTGCTGGGTACTCACTGGCAGGGTGATGTACGTTAAGTAGCGTCTTGAATACAAGGGCCTAAGCCTGCCACAACACGAAGAAACACAATCAACACAAAGCCCCAAGCCCTCTGAGCATTCAAAACCCAATCAGCCCTGACCGCAAGCCCCATAAGACCCGGAATGACCCAAAGCCCCTCATCCCACAAACCCCTTCAAGCCCTGTGAGCCAATGAACCCTCTCAAACAAAGTAGCTCTAGACCACCACCAAACATGATCTTTGTTTTAGGTTTGGGGAACTTGGCCCCAAAGCCTAAACCCAAAACCCTAGATATTATACCCCCCTCCCCCCCCCCAAAAAAAAAAAACAAAGAAAAAACAAATAAAAAGAAGCAGCAGCGCCAGACGAAGCACCCAAAGAAGCCTATCCGTCTTGCGTCTAAAAGCTCGCCTGCGAGAGACCCCAAACCCTTAACCCCAATCCCTAAACCCTAAGCCCTAAGCCCTAAGCCCTAAGCCCTACACCCTACGCCCTACGCCCTAAACCCCAAACTCTAAACCCTCTGCCCATGAACGGCTTCCAGGGCATCACGTGCCCACGCTGGCGCTGATCAATCCCATGCGGCAGCCTTGGTGGATTGTTTTTGGAGTTTTGGTTTAGGGGTTTAGGGGTTTAGGGGTTTAGGGGTTTAGGGGTTTAGGGGTTTAGGGGTTTAGGGGTTTAGGGGTTTAGGGGTTTAGGGGTTTAGGGGTTTAGGGGTTTAGGGGTTTAGGGGTTTAGGGGTTTAGGGGTTTAGGGGGTTTAGGGGTTTAGGGGTTTAGGGGTTTAGGGGTTTAGGGGTTTAGGGGTTTAGGGGTTTAGGGGTTTAGGGGTTTAGGGGTGGTAGGTCTTTAGGGCAGGTCTTCATTTCGGGCTTTAGGACAGGGTGAGGGTTTTAGGGTATAGTATAGGCTTGGGGCTTTAGGGTTTAGGGTGTAGGGTGTGGGGTTCATGTCTTCGGGATTTGGGATCAGGGCCCGTGGTTGTGGTTTAGTTGGGGTTGTAGGGTTCAGGTTTTCAGTGGGTTAAGATTTAGGGTGCAGGGTTTGGGTTGCAGGGTTTTCAGTTCAGGGACGAGGGTTTGAGCCCAGCCCCCCAAGAATGAAGGAATGTGAACCTAAACCCGAACCCCAAGCCCCATGAAGGGATAGTGCGCGGTTCTGAGGCCTGCAGGAACATAGGCCAGCCTGTCTTGTTCAGGGAGGCCCCCCCCCCCCTCCCCCCCCTCCCCCCCCTCCCCCCCCCTCCCTCCCCCCCTCTCCTTCCTCCCTCCCCCCCCCCCTCCCCCCCCCCCCCCCCCTCCCCCCCCTCCCCCCCCCCCCCCCCCCTCCCCCCCCCTCCCCCCCCTCCCCCCCCTCCCCCCCCCCCTCCCCCCCCCCTCCCCCCCCCCCCCCTCCCCCCCCCCCCCCCCCCCCTCCCCCCCCCCCCCCCTCCCCCCCTCCCCCCCCTCCCCCCCCTCCCCCCCCTCCCCCCCCTCCCCCCCCCTCCCCCCCCCCCTCCCCCCCCCCTCTCTTGTTCAAGTGGGGTGGGGCCCCTCCCCCCCCTTGGTCAATTCACCCTTTTATCAATTTTAATAAGATTTCGATTTACTTTAATAGAAATTAACAAATACAAAATGTGGATTTTTTTTAAATAGGGAGCAAGGGTTTCTGGCTTCCATTAGTGGCATTTCTGTTTCTTTTAATAAAAGTATTCTTAATAGGGTTTCACTTGATTTTAATTAAAGTTTTAATAGGACTTCTTTTGATTCTAATCGGGTTAGAGTTTTTGTTACTTTTGAAAGGTTTCAAATAATATGAATGAGGTTTTTATTCCTTCTAATAAGATTTGTATTACGTTTAACGGGATTCGTATTAATAATAGAAATCCTTTTCGAATTAAGTTCAACTCCTATTACAATTAATTGAACTGCTATTAAACTTAGTAGAAGTCCGATTTGACAAATTAATTCCAACCCCATTAAAATTGAACTGAAATGCTACGAAAAAAAGAAGGCAAACAGAAATCTTGTTAAATTAATAGAAATCCTCTTGAAATTAAGAGGATTCCGATGAACAAACAATAGGAATCCTACCAAAAATGGCAGAGGAAATGTGGAATTTAGCATGGGGGGGGGGGTGAGGGGGAGGGGGGAGGGGGGTTTGTTGGCTTTAGGGGGGGGTGGGGGGGGGGGGGGGGGGGGGGGGTACCTTGAATATCCGCGGGCCTCTTTTTTACGCACTCTCCCTGAAGGCCCGGTTTTAGGCTTAGGGCTTTTGGCCATGTGCCCCCCTCAACTTCCCAAAATCCTGAAGCTCTATCACCCTTAAGCTCCTGAGCCCCCGAGCTCGTAGGTCACTTTTTGCCTAAAACTCCTGGAGCCCTCGGCCTGAAGCCCCCTCAACCCCCCTTTAAGCCCTAAACCCTGCATCCTCGCGGGGGTTTAGGGTTTAGGGTTTAGGGTTCAGGCTTCAGGGTTCAGGGTTTAGGGTTTAGGGTTTAGGCCCCCAAACCCTAAAGACCAAACCCTAAAACCCAAACCCCTCGAGATCGCCCTGAGCCCCCCCAAAGTCTTCCATCCTTTTCAGATCTAGGTAGGACCCTGGGGATACGTTATATGTTCTCTTATTGGGTTTACCCTCAACCCTCAACCCTCAACCCTCAACCCTCAACCCTCAACCCTCAACCCTCAACCCTCAACCCTCAACCCTCAACCCTCAACCCTACACCCTACACCCTCAACCCTACACCCTACACCCTACACGCTAAGCCCTAAACCTAAACCTAAACCCTACACCCTACACCCTAAACCCTAAACCCGCAACCCTAAACCCTAAACCCTAAACACCCTAAACCCTAGAAACCCAATAAACCCCATACCCTAAATCGCCCTGAAGCCCGCAGTCTTCCCTCCAGTGAGATCAGGTCAGGAGCTGCAGCCGGGGCTGACATCCTGCGGCTTCGACTGGGAATTGAGGGGGAGGGGTGGGGTTCAGGGTTTAGGGTTTAGGGTTCAGGGTTGAGGGTTGAGGGTTTAGGGTTTAGGGTTGAGGGTTGAGGGTTTAGGGTTGAGGAATTAAAGGGTTTAGGGTTTACGGGGGTTAGCTACTGCAGGGTGTTTGGGGTTTAAGGGTTGAGGGTATGAGGGTTTTTAGGGTTGCAGGGTTTAGGGTTTAGGGGGTTCAGGGTGTTAGGGGTTTAGGGTTTAGGGTTTGGGGCTTAGGGGTTTAGGGTTAGGGGTTTAGGGGCTTCAGGGTGTAGGAGTTTAGGGTTTAGGTTTAGGGCAAAGGGGGTTTAGGGTTTAGGCTTGGGGGGTTTTAGCGGTTTGGGTGCTTGGAGTCTTGGGTGTGTTCTTTAGGGGTTGAGGGTTTACATGTGGTGACGCTCTGCTCTGTGCAAAAGATGTGGACATACTTCAAATGTCATGGTTGGGTGCTCTTATAAGGGGATTGGGGGGGGGTTTAGGGCTAGGGTTTCGGGATTCTGAGCCCGAAGCTCTGAACCCTGAACTCTGTACCCTAAACCCTAAACTCTAAACCCTGAACCCTACACCCTATAAACCCGAAGCCCCGAAGGCCCCAGCGCCCGGGGGCGGCTGGGGTTTGGCCCTTTTCAGGTCTCCCAAGGTGTGTGTTAAGGCTTGGGTCTAGGGTTGAGGGTGCTGTAGGTGTATTTTGGGTTTGGGGCTTAGGGTTCCTGTAGGTATTTCGGGTTTGGGGCATGTTTTAACCTCAATTACTTGCATTTGCTTCACGTCGGGGGCCATGACCATTTCGGAGCCCAGCGTCTTGTTTGTTTCGTTGCTGCTCTTCTTGTTTGCTCACTTCCCTCCTCTCCCTCTCTCTCTCTCTATCACTCTCTCTCTCTCTCTGCACATTGGCGAATTCTTTGGGGTTTCATGCTGCTCAACCATGCGTCAGCCGGAACCGAGGCGAGTTGCCAGGCGTTCGCCTTACTACAAGGACGGGGCGCAGGGTTTCGTTAGGTTCGGGGTGTAGGCTTGCGGGCTTGGGCTTGAATCCCTACAAACCCTAATTCCGTTCACTGACAACTAAACCCTAAACCCTAAACCCTAAACCCGAAGCCCTAAACCCTAAACACAGGCCCTCAAAGCCCCAATCGCCCCCTCGCTCGCTCCCCCCCCCCCCCCCCAAGCTCAGAGCCATCCTACTTAAAACCCGAAAAACCCTAACACTCAACCCGAGATTAGCTACGCAATATGACAAGAAATTTAAAGAATCAACACCTAATCGTCGAAACCCAAAAAACCCTAAACCCTAAACCCGAAACCCTAAACCCTTAGTGTTTCGTCCCTGTTACAAAGCACTTGGGGGGGGGGGGGAATGGTTTAGGGTTTAGGGTTTAGGGTTTAGGGATACTTGGAGGTTCATGGGTATAGCTATAAGTAGGGTCGCAGGTACTGTACCCGTAACTAAGGCTATAGCCCGTTCTGATGATATAGTTGCCCGACTTAGAACCCCACTTGTACCTACCTACCCATGAACCTCCGAGCAGCCCTAAACCCTAAACCCTAAACCCTAAACCCTAAACCCTAAACCCTAAACCCTAAACCCTAAACCCTAAACCCTAAACCCTAAACCCTAAACCCTAAACCCTAAACACCCGCACTTAGGGTTTTGGAAGACAGGATCGATTTTTCAACATTATCGATGTTGCCGCTGCCTCAGACGGGCTCTAAGCCCTAAACCCTGAACCCTAAACCCAGGCTTTGGGGTCTAGGGTTTAAGCGCAAGCCAACAGCAACCAGTCAGATCTCTGTTTCGACTAGGTGCGGAGCCTCTGCAGCGTCTTCTTGAGCCCCGAATCCTTAAACCCTACGCTTGACGGGGCTGGATCCCAGGAACCCAAGCCCTGCCCAAGCACCGCCGAAGGGTTTAGGGTTTAGGGCTTAGGGATACAGGTTTAGGGCCTGGATTGCGTGTAATGTTTGTTGGGTTAAACTCTAAACCCTAACCCCGTCCAAGGAAGCATGCTCCTGCTTGGGACTTGGGGTTCTGGCGGAGGAGTTGAAACGATGTGCGATGTAGGGCCTAGACCTTCAAACATAAGACCCTCCCTAAACTCAATTTCAAGCAGCAATCACGCATAGACCCTGACCCCTAGACCGCGCGCCCTGCAAACAAACAAAAACAAGCAGAAATACATAAAACCCCAAAACGCAAAACACTAAGCCCTAAACCTGAACCCCGAAACCCTAACCCCTAAACCCTCATAAAATGCGGCTCGCTGCAGCGAGCCGCAGTCCTCCCCACCGGCTCCGAGGTCAAAGGCCAACATCGAGGTGGACTTCTGGACGTTTTCAGGACTGGGCTCGATTGAGGGGGTTTAGGGTTTAGGGTTTAGGGTTTAGGGTTTAGGGTTTAGGGTTTAGGGTTTAGGGTTTAGGGTTTAGGGTTTAGGGCCTGGAGTGCCAGGTTTTTTTGGGGTTTTAAGGGCTGAGGACTGTAGCCCGCCACCACCCCTGAACCGAAGGGCCTATGTTCTGGACTGGGTGTCCTGACGTGCCAGACTAGGCCCTCATTCCCTCTTTTTTGTGTTTAGGTTCCCTGATACCTGTAAACCAAAAAGGGTGCACTTTCTTATTCCTATGTCCCTCTTGGGGAAAGTTATGGGGCCTAAGCGGGTGTTATTGAGGAGCACTTTCAGAGGTGTTGAAGGGCGAGCCTGGTTTTTAGGCAGTCTTGAAGTGGGATCCCAAGCTCCAAGTTGTACGAGCCACTCGCCTGACGCTACAGCACCCGGCTTAGGGTTTAGGGTTTAGGGTTTAGGGTTTAGTGTTTAGGGTTTAGGGTTTCGGGTTTAGGTTGTAGGGTTTGGCGTTTAGGAACCCCCAAAAGCACTGCAACAAGTTGGCCCCTGGAGGATTGAGCTGGGCAAAGCCAAGGACGAAGCGAAAGCAATGGGATTGAGGTGCCAGCGCTTGATGGCTTCAGGGTTTAGAGTTTAGGGTTTAGGGTTTCGGGTTTAGGGTTTAGGGTTTAGGGTAGCAAGAACTGGCTATAACCCTAGTTAGGGTACTTACAGACTCCCCATGAACCTTCGAGTGCCCATGAACCTTCTTTGAGTAGGGGCCACCCCCAAGCCCGAAAGACAGCCCTCGCAATCCTCTTTCTTTAACCTTTCTCCTCTTCTTTCTTCAGAGCTGAGGCAAAGGGCTGAGAAGAAGCGGAAAGCTTGGGAGCGTTCTCTGGGTGCAGGTTCTGGTTGCCATTTGAACTTCGCCGCGCAAAGATTCTTTCTGACTGTGAGTCAGAGCAAGCGACAGCGCTGCTGGCTTAGCTATTGCTACCCTAAACTCTAAACTCTAAGCCCTCATCCCTAAACTCTAAACCCTAAGCCCCCGAAACCCTAAGCCCCAAACCTAAACCCTAAGCCCTCAAGCCTCAACCCTAAACCCTAAACCCTCAACCCTAAACCCTCAACCCTCAACCCTCAACCCTAAACCCTAAACCCTAAACCCTAAACTCTAAACCCTGGCTGTCTAGGATCCCACGCTTGCCCAAGCCACGCAGGCCGCGCGTCATCTCCGGCGGAGGAGATGGCACTGGGTGCATGCCTTAGAAACCTGGGTAGCTATGGGTAGGGTTTAGGGTTTAGGGTTTAGGTTTAGGGCTACTTGGAGGTTCGCCTGCAGTTTTTAGTAGGGTTTCAGTGGGAGAACTTTGCTTGTTTGACCCTACTTATAACTAGTCATGAACCTTCAAGTGGTCTTGGCCTTTGGCTGTGCAGTTGAGGGCCAGGTTCAGGGTTCGGTTTAGGGTTCAGGGTTTGGGTTTGAGGGCTTAGGGTTTAGGGTTTAGGGCCTTAGGGCTTAGGATGGTTTAGGGGATGAGGGGTGTAGGGCCAAGGTTTTAGGACTTGTCGCATAGAGTACAAGAAAGCCCTGATTTAGGAAGCGCCTCCAACTTGGCTTCAGGGTTTAGCTCGTATAGAGTTTAAGGTTTAGGGTTTAGGGTTCAGCTCTTACGGAGTGTACGGCTTAGGGGCGGCTTGTAGGGCGATTGGGTCTAGCTTGCATCCTCAATTACCAACTGTGCATAGGCAACTCTTCAAAGCAGTCAAGCAACCCTCACGGTACCATTTGAAACGACTGGGTTTAGGGTTTCGGGCCAGGGTTCTTTTAAACCTCAACCCTTACAAGCCTCAACCCGAAAGAAACTCTCCAAAGCCCCAGAGACTTGTAGCCAACAACCCTGGCACCCTGATTTTCCAAGCCCTAGCAGCCCGCCACCACCCAAGTCCTAAGAATTTGGAGCTAAGGGTTGAGGGTTCAGGGTTTAGGGTTTAGGGTTTAGGGTTTGGGGTTTGGGGTTTAGGGTTTAGCGTTTAGGGTTTGGGGATTGTGGTTGAGGGGTTTTTCTAGACTCTGAACCCCAAAGCCCCAGAACCGAGCCTTCTGGAGCCTAAGCAGGGGTTACTTGGAGGTTCGTGGTGGGTAGTTACAAGCAGGGTTAGAATGTTAGAACTAGGAGCAGTATGGTTATAGCCTTATTCAGGGTGCTTATCACCCTACTTATAACTATTCATGTAACTATTCATGATAAACCCTAAACCCTAAACCCTAAACCCTAAACCCTAAACCCTAAACCCTGAACCCTCAATTCCAAACCCAGTGAACCTTGAAGTGCAGCCCAGGTCGTTTGCGCTCTTTATCGTCTTCTTGGCCTTGAAGGTGCAGAGGGGTTAGGGCTTGCCCCTACAGCCCGACAGCCCTAAACCCATAAAGCCTAAAGCCTAAAGCCTAAAGCCTAAAGCCTAAAGCCTAACCCTAAACCCTAAACCCTAAACCTTAAACCCTAAACCCTAAACCCTAAACCCTAAACCCTAAACCCTCTCTATCACATATATATTTAAACCTTCGGGACTTTTCGGTCAATCTGCCCCCCGTTGTTCGTGACTTTTCGGTCAATCTGACCCCAATGTTCGCGACACTTCGGCCAATTTGGACCAGTGTTGGTGATTTTTCGGTCAATCTGACCCCAATGTTCGCGACTTTTCTTCGGTCAATCTGGACCAGTGTTGCTGACTGTCAATCTGACCCCAATGTTCGCGACTGGACCTGGACCAGTGCTTCAGGGTTTAGGGCTTCAGGGTTTAGGTCTTCAAAGTTTAGGGCTGCAGGGTTTAGGGCTTCAGGGTTTAGGGCTTCAGGGTTTAGGGCTTCAGGGTTTAGGGTTTGAGGGCTCCAGGGTTAGGGCTTCAGGGTTTAGGGCTTCAGGGTTTAGGGCTTCAGGGTTTAGGGCCTCAGGGTTTAGGGCCTCAGGGTTTAGGAGTGGGTAGGTAAAACTCTCTGGGGTAGGATGAGAACCTTTTATGTTCTTAATGTTATGGGATTCTTTGGGCGGGTGGGTGTTTTTTCTAAGCCTGGAATGAATGCTAGAACAGTGACCCTCTAGACCCTAAACCCTAAACCCTAAAACCCTAAACCCTAAATGCCTTTGGGGTCAGAACCCTCTGAATCTGCTAGTGGCTGGGGGCGGCAGGTGATTAGCCCTCAACCCCTGCCAGATCGAGCCTTCCTGAAGCCCCAAGAGGGTTTAGGGTTTAGGGTTTAGGGTTTAGGGTGTTCCGAAGTGCCGCGGTCCCGACCGCCAGTCGGGCCGCCTCGGTGCAGCGGATCCCACCCCAGCCACCCAAACTACCGCCTTTTTCGGGTTTAGAGCGGTCTAACCCCAAGTGGGCTTTCACCTCGACTCTCCCCGATGGCCGGGATGGGAGGTATGACTGCTGCTGCTGCTGTTGCTGCTGCTGCTGCTGCTGCTGCTGCTGCTGCTGCTGCTGCTGCTGCTGCTGCTGCTTGAGCCTACACTTTCCTGGATCAACAGGGAGCGGGACAAGCTGTTTCATCCGTGCTGTGTTTAAGGCACCCTCAAGCCCATAGCTAAGCCATGGCGGGGGGCAACCCTGGCGGGGGCAACCCTGGAGGGGGCAACCCTGCCAGGGCAACCCTGCCAGGGCAACCTTGCCAGGGCAACCCTGCAACCCTGGCGGGGACAACTGAGGGCAACCCTGGTGCCGGCAATATTGGGGCAACCCTGGCGAGGGCAACCCTGGCGGGGGCAACCCTGGCAGGGGCAACCCTGGCGGGGGCAACCCTGGCGGGGGCGCGGGGGCAACCTGGCGGGGGCAACCCTGGCGGGGGCAACCCTGGCGGGGGCAGGGGCAACCCTGGGAGGGCCAACCCTGGCGGGGGCCACTCTGGCGGGGGCAGCTCGGGCGGGGGCAACCCTGCTTGGAGGTTCATGGGACTTAAGAACCACTTATAACTGGGCTTATAACCCTTACTTATCATTGGGATAACCCCCAAAAAACTCTTTGGAGGTATTTTGAGTAGGGTTTTTGGTGCAGTTATCAGAGGTTCGTAAGCAGCATGAACCTTGGGGGGGGGGGGGACTGGCCCTGGCGGGGGCAACCCTGGCGGGGGCAACCCTGGCAGGGGGCAGCCCGGTCACTGTCACTCTGGCAACCCTGTCACTTAAGAACCACGTATTTTTTAGGGCTTTTTTTGAGTAGGGTAACCCTGAATGTGTGCAGTATCTGTTGCCAATGCTTTTGTGTGGGGGCCACCCTGGCAACCCTGGCGGGGGCAACCCTGGCGGGGGCAACCCCGGGGGGGGCAACCCTGGCGGGGTCAACCCTGGCGGGGGCAACCCTGTCACTGTCACCCTGGCAACCCTGTCACTTAAGAACCACTTAATTTTTTGGGGCCTTTTTTCGCAGGGAAACCCTGCGGGGCAACCCTGGTGGGGGCACCCCTGGCGGGGGCAACCCTGGCGGGAGGGGCAACCCTGTCACACTGGGGTGGGGCAAATTTGGCGGCGGCAACCCTGGTGGCGGCAACCCTCGCGAGGCAACCCTGGCGGTACCCCCCACAGCCCCCCTGTATCAAGGGGGCTTTCACCTCGACTCGCCCCGATGGCCGGGATGGGACGTGTTGACTGCTGCTGTTGCTTGAGCCTATACACTTTCCTGGGACTATCTGTTTCACCCATACTGTGTTTAAGACACCCTCAAGCCCATAGCTAAGCCAGGGCACGCCCCGTGTCGGTTTTTCCAACCCGAGCCATGTTGGTCGCAGGACCCGGTCCCTTTCTTCGACGAGCAGGCGTGTTGGACGAGGGTGCTTGCATTGACGCCTTGAGCCGCCTCGCTCCCAGCACTCTGGCAGCCTTCTTGAATGGCGGCCCGGCCAAGATGCTGGCGCGCCTTGCGCCAGCGCTGAAACTTTCGCGAGGCAGTTCTGAAGACACTTGTCAAGTAGGACCTAGAAAAGGCTCGGACCAGACATGCTTCAACTAGGGCCTGACCTGACCAAATTTGTCATGCCACTTCTGCTTGGTGTATTACAGCTCGTCATAGAAGCGAGATAGACCAGACAGGTCGCGCGTGAGCGGCCATGTGTGCCCCTGCACGCAGGTCGCCCGCCATGCTGAGGGATGAAGTGGCGCAGAAGGCAGGCGTCTGCGTCTTCTCACTCGGAGACGAGGACTCCCTGCACTTATCGGCCTTCCCAGAAGAATCTGGGGGCAACCCTGGCAGGGGCAACCAGCCCTGGCGAGGGCACTGTCGCCAGGGTTGCCCCCACCAGCATTGCCCCGCCAGGGTTTGCCCCCGCCAGCCCGGTTGCCCCGCCAGGGTTGAGGGTTGGCCCCGCCAGGGTTGCCCCCGCCAGGGTTGTGCGGCCGCAGGGTGACAGGGTTACCCTGGCCAGGTTGCCCCCGCCAAGCTTGCCCCTTTTGGTGGGGCGCACACTGGCGAGGCATATAACCGGATAACCCCTACAAGGCTTTTCAGGAGTATGATAAGTAGGCAGTTCTAAGTGGCTAGTAAGTACATGAACCTTCAAGCCGGCCCTGCCGCAACCCTGCCGGAGGCTGGCTTGCTGGGGGCAAACTTGGGGGGGGAACCCTGGCGCTGGCAAGAAAAAACCGTGGTGGGGCAACCGCACGGCCAGTACCAGAATTCGGGTGGGCCATGCCAGGGTGACAGGGTTGCCTTGCCCCAAAAGTTGCCCCCAGGTTTGTCTTTGGGGGGGTAATTCGCGTGGGCAACCCTGGCGGGGGCAACCCTGGTGGGAGCAAGGCTGGGGCAACCTGGTGGGGGCAACCTGGCGGGGGCAACCCTGGCTGCTGACCAACCCGCAGGGGCAAATCTGGTGGGGGCAACCCTGGTGGGGGCAACCCTGGCGGGCGGGGGCAACCCTGGACCTGGCGGACGTAACCCTGGCGGGGGCAACCCTAGGGGGGGGGCAACCCGGCAACCCTGGCGGGGGCAACCTTGGTGGGGGAAGCCTGACGGAGGCAATTCTGGCGGAGGCGGGGCCAACCGGCGGGGGCAACCCTGGCGGGGCAGCGGGGGCAACCCTGGCGGGGGCAACCAGCGGGGGCAACCCTGGCGGGGGCAACCCTGGCGGGGGCGCAGGGCCCGACCTCCCCCACCGGGGTCGCGCGTCGGGGGTTTAGGGTTAATCCATTATTACATTGTGCCCTATGGCTAGCAGGGATGCATCAGGTGTGGCAAGCTCGATCTGCTTGGCAAAGCAAGCAGATCTCGAAGCGGTAGCGTTCAGTTGTACCGGCCGCCGCCTGGCGCGGGCAGCCTATGGTTTAGGGTTTAGGGTTAGGGTTTAGGGTTTAGGGTTTAGGGTTTAGAGTTTAGGGTTTAGGGTTTAGGGTTTAGGGTTTCGGACTTTTTTTTTCCTTTTCCAAACCCTCAACCCACATCTGTCTTCTCCGGCCCGGCAGGCGGATCACGCGCGCGCCCTGGAAGGGCTGGAGGCCAGGGCATCGGCAGCCTCGAGGGGGGGCTCCCCCTAAACCCCAAGCCCTAAGCCGGAAACCCTAAACCCTGAACCCCCTAAACCCTAAACCCCCTAAACCCTAAACCCCCTAAACCCTAAACCCCCTAAACCCTCAACCCAGAATAAGACCCTAAACCCAAACCCTGGATAGAGTTGAGCGTAGTCCTCTGAATTGAGAGGCAAGGTGTGTGGGTTGTTCTGACACAGGGTCCGCTAAGAGGTATCTTTTGAGATAGATGTTTGGGGCTTCAGAGTTTTAGATGTTGGGTTTGGGTTCAGAGTGTTAGGTTTAGGGTTTTGGGTTAAGGGTTGGAGCTAGGGGAATGTCGGGGTTCAGGGTTTCGGGTCTGAGGGTCTTTGTTCGGGTGTATGTAGGTTTGAGGGTTAGCCAGGGCCACTGCGTGCTGCCTAGTGGGGGAATGAAATAGCAGATTATTCATAGCGAGAAGTCGTTATGATAGTAATACGCATCATAACAATAATAATCATAATGGTAGTCATAAAACTCAGAATAATAATGAACATAATAACAATAGTAGAAATTATTAACAACAGTCATCATCATCATCATCATCATCATCATAGTAATAGTCTGCCACAGTGTGATGGCACTGGGGCTCACACCGCCACCAGCGGGTATCATGAGACCCCTAAACTCTTGGACTTTTGCCCAGACCCATTGCCTGAACAAAAGCTCAGAAAAAATTCCCTCTCAACCCCCCCAAAAATACTTGACTAGGGCCTGGTAGTCCTTGAAACCTGAAACCCTAACCCTCGAAACCCTGAACCCTTTTTTCCACCTTAGGGGACCCTGCAGGGTGCCCTCGGTCCCTGAAAGTTTTGGCGGCTTGGGCTGTCAGGGCCTTTTTGGGGTATTTAGGTTTCGGGTCTTTGGGGGCTTTAGGGCTTTTGGGGTGTTTAGGGCTTTTTCGGGCCTTTTGGGGTTTTGGGGGTTTTAGGGGCTTTAGGGTTTTTAGGGTTTTTTGGGTTTAGGGTTTAGGGAGGCTTTTTGGGATTTAGGGTGTTTGAAGGGTTCCTCGGCCCTCGGCAGCAAACCACTAGACCCCTGAGCCGTAGACGCTCCTTGAAGGGTTCCCCAAATCAGGGTCAGAACCATTCTAGAATTATAGCTACCCTACATATAACCCGACTTATAGCTACCCATGAACCTCGTAGTCCTAAACCCTGAACCCAAACCTCAAACCCTAAGCCCTAAGCAACAACGGCGCAGGACACAGGGAATGGCTTCATCTGGACGGACGCGGAGATGGCAGAGTGCGATGCTTACGCAGGGGTTAAGGGCTTTTCGGGCACCCTTAGCGAACCCCTTCAACTTGTGCGCTTAGGGTTTCCGACCCTGAACCCTAAACCCTAAACACTAATTAAAACCTAAACATACCTAAACCCTAAACCCTAAGCCCTGAACCCTAAACCCTAAACCGAAAATTTATGGTTCAGGGTAATCACCTAAATCCGAAACCCAAGCACCCTCCGTCTTGACGTAGGGTGGAGTTCCATACTAGGGTGGTTACATGGTCCCTTGGTATGGGGCCGCTTATATGCCCCCTTATATACCCTAGAAAATCCAAGGGCCCATACTTCAGAACCCTTTAAGGGAGGTAAGGGAACATATTAAGGGCCCATGTAACTATCCTTAGATACTAAGAGCCCCTTGAGCGTGCAACAGAAAGGCCCGGGGGGGGGGGGGGGGTTGCGAGGTTGAAGCGTCAAGGAGTAGGGTTCGGGGCGGGGGTCTGTTGTGCAAGGTTTCCTTGAAAGTTCATGGGTTGTGTTGAGTAGGTGTTTTCAGTATTCTGAACCTCAACCCTAATCCCTAAACCCTAAATGAGGTCAGAACGCTAGTTATCCTCCTATAACTAAGCAGTCAAGGGTTTTATGGTTTGGGTTCAGGGTTTGGGGTGTGGGGTGTGGGGTTTAGGGTTTAGGCTTTAGGGTTTAGGGACCTAACCAAACCCCCGTCTGCCCATCAGGAGCTTTCCCGCGTTGGCGCAGATGCCTTTGGGCTCTGCCAACGACTTTGGCACCTCGGCTGAGGGTTAAAAGTTGTGGTGCAAAGCCTGGGATTCAGGACTTCGGGGCCCTAAGCCCTTAGCCCTGAGCCCTAAGCCCTGAACTGAACCCTAAGCCCTGAACCCTAAGCCCTAAGCCCTGAACCCTGAACCCTGAACCCTAAACCCGAAACCCTAAACGCTACTGGGTGGGGGCCCCATCTGCCAGTGTATCGGGGTTCGGAACTTCACGAACCCCCCAAATCCTTTTTTAGGTTTAGGGGGAAGGTTCAGGGTGCATGGTAGGATTTGGGTTATACATGTACAACCTCTTAGATACAGGAACCCCCCCTCCTCCCACCCAACCAGAACAGAACCCCCAATTGGGAAGAACCCTCAGCTCTCAACCCAAAGCCGTGCAGTGTGGCGCCTGTAGTTCCACTCCTTTTTGGGTTCAGGGTTCAGGGTTTTGCCCTATAAGCCCTAAACCCTAAGCCCTATCCTAGCAAGCCAAGAATAACCCAATATGCCCTAAACACAAAACCCAAAAACAACCCAGTATGCCCTAAACCCGCAACCCACTACGCAGTATCCCCAAACCCTAAACCCCGTAGCCCTAAACCCTTAACCCAGTAGCCTAAACCCAAGGCAATATCCTTGGCTGGGGCCAGTCCGTCGCCCAGTCCGGGCAGAGTTGGTGTAGTTTAGGTGTTTTAGTGTAGGGGGTTTAGGGTTTAGGGGGTTTAGGGTGTTTAGGGGGTGGCGGGTTTGGAGGTTTAGAGGGGGTTTAGGGCGTTTAGAGGGTTTAGCGGGTTTGGCGGGTTTAGGGGGGGTCCAGGGAGTTTAGGGGGTTTAGGGGGGTTTAGGGGGTTTAGGGTTGTTGTGATGAACCCTCAGCCCCAAAGATTAAACAAGTAAACCAGAGAACCAGAGGACTAAAACCTCAATCCCAGGCACATTTGGGGTGACCCTAAACCCTAAACCCTAAACCCTAAACCCTAAACCCTAAACCCTAAACCCTAAACCCTAAACCCTAAACCCTAAACCCTAAACCCTAAACCCTAAACCCTAAACCCTAAACCCAAAACCCTAAACCTAAAACCCTAAACCCTAAACCCTAAACCCTAAACCCTAAACCCTAAACCCTAAACCCTAAACCCTAAACCCTAAACCCTAAACCCTAAACCCTAAACCCTAAACCCTAAACCCTAAACCCTAACCCTAAACCCTAAACCCTAAACCCTAAACCCTAAACCCTAACCCTTTCCCCTAAACCCTAAACCGCCTCATGGGGAGGTGCTGCAAGCCTGCATCCTGCACCAAACTACTTATGCAAAGTGTGCCGAAACCTTCGGGGTTTAGGGTTCAAGTTGGGATGTTCCCCCTTATACGAATTAAAAGGAGGTACTGTAATCAGTACTAAGAACTGTTAGTATAAGCGGGAAAATCCCAAGGTTTAAGGTTTATGGTCTTTGGGCTTAGGTTGACTGACGTGCTTCGCGGGAAGTCGGATTTCTCTCCTGTGGGCTTGGGATTTAAGCCGCCGTGTCGCGTGCCTGAGGGGTTTTGGTGGTGCCTGGGGTTTAGGGATGTTTAGGGTTGAGGGCTTAGGGATGCCTTCGCTCCAACCCCTGAAACCCCTGAAAGCCCTAAACCCTAAACCCTAAACCCTAAACCCTAAACCCCAAACCCTAAACCCTAAACCCTAAACCCTAAACCCTAAACCCTAAACCCTAAACCCTAAACCCTAAACCCTAAACCCTAAACCCTAAACCCTAAACCCTAAACCCTAGAAGCCCGAAGCCCCCGCACCGCTGCAGCTCTTGGCCTCAGCAGGTTCCATCGAGAATCGGGGCTCGCGCACCACAAAACCCAATGGGGGTTTACGATACTAAGGGACCCATAATATAGACCCCAAGTAGTAGGATCCCCTTATAGTAAGGACCCCAATAAGCTACCCCAATGTTGTAAACCCCCAAATGAAGTAGTAGGATCCCCTTATAGTAAGGACCCCAATAAGGTACCCCAATATTGTAAACCCCCAAATGAAGCCGCAAGACCCTAAACACTAACCCCTCAACCCGAAACCCTCAAAGCCCCAAACCTACTCATCATTTTGAACAGGTCTTTTTGTCATCTTACATAAGTTTAACCATTAAACTTTAAAACGTGACCTCCTAAATTTCAATCAGACTTCTTAAACACCAAAAACTAGAACCGTGGCGGGCGCAGGAAATACCCAGGGGACGTGGCCTGCCCCTGCGGACCCTGCGGTGGACGTGAGGCACGGGCTTTGTGTTTGGGCTTCAGGGTTCGGACGTTTAGGGTTCAGGGTTTGGGGTAAAGGATTTAGGGTTTAGGATTTAGGGTTTAGGGTTGAGGTCTGGACGTTTAGGATTTTGGGATGGTGTGGTTTAGGAGAAAAGGGGTATCATGCCAACATCATTCTGGGGCTCGTAGGTTCCAGAACAGCAGCTAGCTTGGGGCTTTAGAGGAGCGTAAGCCCTAAACCCTAAACCCTAAATCCCTAAGCCTGCAGCCCAAGAAGCTCCGCACCTTTGACGAAGAGTCAGAAGAAGCCCACATGTCCCCAGAACCCTGAACCCAAAGCCCTAAACCCTAAACCCTAAGCATCCCAAAGCCCAATACTCTAAACCCTAAGCAGCCCCAAGCCCGAACGCATGTTCCCCCCCCCCCCCCCTTCCCACGGCTCAGACCGCCTTCGCCCACCTTGAGCGTTGGGAGCGACTGGCACCGTTGGGCTTTTTGTGCTTCTATGGCTTAAGGTTTTAGGGGTTTTAGGGGTTTTGGGGTTCTAGGGTTCTAGGGTTTCAGATTGCAAGTCGTGTTTTTAGGGTTTTTTAGGGTTTATGGGGCTTTAGGGTTCTAGGGTTCTAGGGATTCTAGGGTTTTTTGGTTGGAGGCTTAGGCGTTTAGCGTTGAAGCCTTTGGGGTGCAAGAATCTTTGTCCTCGGTTGAGAACATCGGATTCCGCCCCGCGCCCCCCCCCCCCCCCCCCCAGGACCCGGAGTCTGGCCCTTATTTCTTTTTTAAGGGTTTAGGGTTTAGGGTTCAGGGTTTGGGGTTTAGGGTGTAGGGTTTCGGGTTTAGGGTTCATTCCTAGCTTACTCTTTGGTCTAGATCCTCACCGCTACTCTCAGACGACTCCAATCCCCCATCTCTGGGCTGATCCCTCAAAACGCAAAGCGGCGCCAGGAACCTTGAAACCTGAGCCCTGAACCCCCAAGCTTTAAAGCCCTAAACCCTAAACCCTAAACCCTAAACCCTAAACCCTAAACCCTAAACCCTAAACCCTAAACCCTAAACCCTAAACCCTAAACCCTAAACCCTAAACCCTAAACCCTAAACCCTAAACCCTAAACCCTAAACTTAAACCCCTAACCCATTAACCCTTCCCTTTGGCTTTTGGTGGCGCCGGTTTGCCGGTTTGTGGTGGCGGTTCAGGGTCGAGAGTTCAGATTCAGGTTCAGGGTTTCGGTTTTAGGGCCGAGGACCCCTAAACCGGTTTAGGGTTCAGGGGTTTGGGGTTTAACTGTACGGAGCCCATAATGAGCCCCTAAACCCTAAACCCTAAGCCCTAAAACCCTAGAGTGCTTTCCCCTTCGCCCCATACCAGCTCATGGCCGTGATGAGCGACAAGTCCCGAGTCGTGAACTTCGACGTCTGGGGGCCGCTTGTTTATTCTTGGTTTGTTCCTCGGGTTTAGGTTTTAGGGTTTAGGTTTTAAGGTTCTGTTGACTTGGTGGGGGGGTTTTCGGACCTATGTGAGCGCCTGCCAGAAATCATGGTTCTTGAAGCCAGTACTACGCTGGACACAAGTTGTTGCGAACATAAGTAACCATGGAAAGCGACATGGGCCCCACCTAAAGCGATAACGTTTGTTTGCACATTCTAACCTGTTTTACTTCATGTGGTCCCGTAGTCCCATAGTGTGGGCTTTTTAAGGGCTTTGTTTCGGCATCTCTCTGTGCAGGGTTTCTAGATCTTCGAGGGCTTACGGGGCTTGTAGTGCGAAGGCATAATACCTTTTCCTCTAGTTGCTCCTACAGTTTAGGGTAAGCCCCCTAACCCGATAAGCCCTAAGCCCCTAAACCCTAACACCCACATTGACTCTCAACACCAAAGGCCCCAAAACCCTAAACCCTCAAACCCCTAAAACCCCTAAAACCCTAAACCCTCAAACCCCTAAAACCCTCAAACCCCTAAAACCCTAAAACCCTAAAACCCTAAAACCCTAAAACCCTAAAACCCTAAAACCCTAAAACCCTAAAACCCTAAAACCCTAAAACCCTCAAACCCTCAAACCCCTCAAACCCTAAAACCCTAAAACCCCTTAACACCCTAAAACCCCTAAAACCCTAAAACCCTCAAAACCCTAAACCCCTAAACCCCCCAAACCACCCAAAGCCCCCCAAAAGCCCCCAAGTCCCCTGAATGCCCTCCTGGCCCAGGCTGATGCCTCCGAGGGGTCAGGAGAACTGCAACTTTAAGCAGCTCGGGTTTGCACTGGCATCCGGTTTGGGGTTTGGGGAGTTTGGGGGGTTTGGGGAGTTTAGGGGGTTTAGAGAGTTTTGGGAGTCTAGGGAGTTTAGGCAGTTTTGGGAGCTGAGGGAGTTTAGGGAGTTTAGGGAGTTTAGGGTTTAGGTTCAGGGGGGACTTCGAAGTAGCCAGCCCCCAAGTCACCCTCAGGGTTCGGGGCTTAGGGTTTGGTGTTTGCGGTTTAGGGTTTATGTTTTGTGGTACCTTTTGTTCACCTTTGTCATGGCGCCCGAAACCCAAACCCCCTTGTCTTTTAGAAAGAACATGCGCGCCCCCGAACTCGTCCGGCAACCCTAAAACCTAAACCCTTGGCAATCCCCAGCTCGTCCGGCAAGGCTGGCGGAGCTCACCGGAAAACGCGGGCGAAACCCGAACGCCAAGGCGCACAGGGCTTCACGGTTTTTGGGCTTCAGGCTGAGTGCTTGTCGGTGGTTTCGGAGTTTCCTAGCAAGCCCTAAACCCTAAGCCCTAAAACGTAAACCCTAAACCCTAAACCCGAAACCCCAAACCCTAAACCCTAAACCCCCCTAAGACCCTAAGCCCCAAAAACTCGAAGCCGATCTTTTGCAGGATTTTCAGGGTTTTAGGGTTTAGAGGGCTTCAGGGTTTCGGGTTCCAGGGAGTAGGCTGAGGGCGTAAGAACCCCCAAAGTCCTGGACCCTACCTCGGTGATGCCTGTTAAGTCGTGGCTACTACTCAACTGTAGGTGACGAGAGGCACGGGCAAGCCCCTAGGGTTTTAGGCTTAAACCCTAAACGCTAGACCCTAAACCCTAAACCCCAAACCCCAAACCCTAAACCCTAAACTCTAAACTCTAAACCCTAAACCCTAAACCCTAGACGCGGAGATTCCAGGCTGTGGCTTGGGGTAGGGTCCGCGGAGGCTTTATGAAACCCTAAATCGCCATCAACAATGGGGTTTAGGGTTTAGGGTCGGCCTCTGGGGTCCCTAAGCCCATGCTTGCGACGCTTGAAGCCTCTACCCTCAATGCCATTATCGGGGCTGCAGATGAACACGTGATAGATTGACGATTCGCCCGCTGCCAACTCCAACCGTTGGCTTTGAAGAGACAGTGCCTCAGTAGCAGCATGATGCAGCCATCTCCTCCATACTTGAAGGTTCATGGGCAGTTTTTAGGAGGGTTATACGTACACTACATAAGGTTGACACCCATTTGTAATTCTAGTTACCCTACTTCTAACCCCACTTATAATTGCCCATGAACCTCCAAGTAGGGGTCTGAAGGACATGAGTGGCAGGTGTCAGCGTGGCTTGAGAAAAATCTTACTTCTCCACCAAGAGGTAGACCAAATTGTTCTCTTCTATACGTCTCCAACCTAGATCTCATCTGCAAAAGGCTGCACGGTTCATAAGGATATGGGGGTTGTTCTAAACTATTGGCCCTTTTGGGATACCCGAGTATGCTATAATAGGTGTACAAAAAGGGGTCATAATTTAGAGCAGCGCCCATACACTCCCAATTCATGAAGCCCTCCCCCCCTCCCCCTCAACTGAAAGATGGGGAGTTCCTCCAAGCCCTACTCTAAACTTCCCGCCCAATCGGTACGCAAGGACGAAGCGGATCTCAAAACGGCGGTGTTAGAGTCACTTTCCTCACCAGAGGAGGAGTTAAAGGCATGATGGTCTCGTCGGCAGTTTCTGGACTGGCGATGGCTGAGCCCTCAACCTCAGCCCTCCTCCCTAAACCCTAAGCCCTAAACCCTAAACCCCAAACCCCAAACCCTAAACTCCTAAACCCTGAACCCTAAACCCTAAACCGTAAACCCTAAGCCCTAAACCCTGCCCCCAAAAAATGGTGACGAGGTGGAAGGGCAGCATCAGGTACGTCTCAAGCAGGCGGGAAGAGCGACTCGTTGGCTTTTCAGGGAGTTTTGGGGTTTCTGGGGCTTATGGGGTTTGTATAGGGTTTGTATAGGGTTTGTGTAGGGTTTGTATAGGGCTTGTATAGGGTTTGTATAGGGTTTCGGGGTTTAGGGTTTAGGGTTTAGGGCGTAGGGTTTAGGGTTTAGGTATTTTTGTTTTGCATAATTTGTGGCATAGTAGAGTAGACAAGCTGTGTTTTTTTGGGGTTCTAGAATTTTATATAATCCCAAAGGTTAGTCTTTTTGGTCCTCCTAGGATGCTGGACAACTACGTTTATAGGGTTGATAGGGTTTACAGGATTTTTACGGGTTAAGGGGATTCTAGGATTCTAGGTTTTATAGGGTTGATGGGATTTGGGGGTTTGGGGTTTACGTTCTAGGGGTTACAGGGATTATGGGGTTTAGGGATTAGGGGGTGAGGGCTTAGGGATGAGAGGGTTCGGTATTAGCATATTAGGGCTCAGGGTTTCAAGGGTTTAGGGCAGTACATAGTCTTAACCCTAAACCCTACACCCTAAACCCTAAACCTAAACCCTAGACCCTAAACCCTAAACCCTAAACCCTAGACCCTAAACCCTAAACCCTGGGGGTGTTTGTGTGGGGTGTCGTGGGGGTGTGCTGTGACCCAAACACGTATGCCCAAGTGGTTTAGCACGGAGGCCCCTGAACCCTTGGCCCCCCTACATAATCAGTGCCAAGTCTGAGCCGACCCTATACGGTAAAGGCCCGCAACCTTAACCCTAACCCCCAAAACCCCTGAGCCAAACGAGCGGGAGGCGAATAAGCCAGTGCCATTCTTTGCGCGCGCCTCAGCATCCGCTCGCCGAGCCCAGCGTTGGGGTTTAGACGGGGGCTAGGTTCAGGGCGGAGGGATTTGAGGTGTAGGGTTCAACCCCAAACCCTAAACCCTCCCAAAGTATGTAAAAGAGATAGCCCTTAAAGGCCCATTCTTTTGCATCTTTTCGGGGGTTTTGGTAAGCCCTAAGCCCGAAGCCCTAAGCCCTAAGCCCCTCCGATGACCACCGTCAGTCTGAGGGTTTAGGGGTTCAGGGTTTGGGGTTGAGGGTTTACGGTTTAGGCTTGAGGGTCTCCGAAAACCCTAAACCCTAAACCCTAAACCCTAAACCCTAAACCCTAATCCCTAAACCCTAAACCCTAAACCCTAAACCCTAAACCCTAAACCCTAAACCCTAAACCCGAAACCCTAAACCCTAAACCCTGCCACAAGAGGGCCTGTCAGTTGCAAGAGAAGCCTTCGAAGTCTCAAGCCGAAGTGCCGGGTTAAGGCCTTGCAGGTTCGCTGGTCCCCACATGGTCAGTTCTCTGAATCATGGGTCCCTTTGTGAGTACCCTACAAGGGCTTAGGTTCCCAAACCCTAAACCCTAAACCCTAAACCCTAAACCCTAAACCCTAAACCCTAAACCCTAAACCCTAAACCCTAAACCCTAAACCCTAAACCCTAAACCCTAAACCCTATACGGGGGCAACCGAAGGGGAAAAGGGAAAGAAACCAACCCTTAACAGTTGCCTATATGGATTTCCCAGATCGAACCAGTAAGAGAAGAATCCCACCCTAAAGGGAAAGGCTAAGGGAGAAGGGTCGGGACTACTACCTCCCACAAGACCCAACACCCAACACACGGACACAACCTTTTCAACGAAAAGCGGACGGCTCTGGGCCATCTTGAGCCAAATAAGATTTCCGGGTTCATTGACCCATCCAACCCTCAACACTAACTCCTTTCTACAATACCAATTGCAGCTCCGCACTCCCCCTGTCCTAGGATTTCCTAGGACACCTTGGAGGTGCAGATGTTTTGGCCAAAAACTGCCATTAAAGCAGCAGCCAGCTGCTTGAAATGCACAATATGGTTTAACGTCATCCAGGACGGAATTATAGCACATTGGCTAACCCACTAACCACAGAGAATCTCTTTTCACCATGATCCTCTCATCACTGAAGACTCCTTGGCCTTCTTCACCACAAACCGTGGTCTTCGCTACGCGAAAAGCTACTGACTTCTACTATCAGGGATTTCCATACCCTTAATAGTAACCACCACATTGTCAGCACATTGGCTGTTCCAGCGCACCTGTCTCCAGAAAGAGAAAAACCATCCCTTCATCCATACCATCCAATCACTTCTTTTTCCGATTGTTGGCAATCTTGAGGTGAAGTTGCAGCAGAATATACTCCAGGTCCGAAACTGTAAGAACAGGATCCTGTACGCACCTTTGAATTGAGGATACCAATCCTTCTCTCTTTGCGTCCTCAATCGCTTGGCAAGATTGACCCAGCTCTGCATTCACAGTGGTAGACACTGGTGCATCCGCATCAGATGGACGATCCTTTTCCTCAGGACCTTGCACCATTACCACCTCTTCTTTTTTGGGACTCTGACTTTTCTCCCTCTTCTTCGTCTTTCCACCGACATTTGACTTTGTGCGCGTCTTCGAGGATTTTTCCACTACAGAAACCACCACATTGGATGTTGATCCACCCTTCTCAATGATCGTCGGCATCTTCTTCGGCTTTGGAACCATGAGAGTGTAAGGATCTTCGATAGCTGCAGCTTTCCTCTTCTTTTTTACCTTTTTCTTCTCTTCTTCAACGGCAACCTCCGTCTCCGAAGTCTCAACCACTTCTTTTTCGGCAGGAATATCCTTGCTGGACTCCCTTTCTAGGGACCTCTTTTTGCCTCTTTTGGAATCCTTTTCTTCTCCCAAATTGGCTCGCTCATACCATATCCTCAGGTCATTGACCCATTCTTCCACCTCCGCGAGCGAAACCTCATACGACTTCACTACTTCGAGAAGTTCCAGCACGGTCAACATACCAGTGGTCCACGAAACCCATTCTTGATCCATTTGGTCAGTATCTCCAGTGAACTTCAGGAGTTTGAACAATGGGTCCGCCTCTGCTCGAGCCAAATCTGGCTTGCCATCGGACAGAAATGAAATCGCCTCCATCAACAGTTCCGTCATTTTGGTATCTTCGTCATAAACCATAAAATCCTCCTCACCATCATCGAACTGTTCAGGAGAGATCTCCTTTTCTCCACCATTTGCACCAGAATTTCTCCTTGGACCATCCCTTGGGGGCGTCCTTGGAGACCTTGGCCTCTGTTCATCCAGCGGAACACCATGCTCGAAGACACACCTGTCACCATAACGACACTTCCCAGACCGAGCAAACTGGATGCACCTCACACCAGTTGCATCATGCGAGAACCCACAATCCTTTCCAGCGAAACATTCTCTCCCTGCCACATAGTATTTGCACCAATACGAAGGTAGCATCACATCATCTTCGGAATGGATGAATTTGCAGTCTTCACCAAATTTGCAGCGATCTTTCCCCTTGCCGAACCAATAGCAGAAGCCCTTCTTCCTCTTCTCCAAGCGCTCTGCCTCGTACCGGTCCATAGGGCGATTGTGCTCTACATGAACATTGCCATGTACCTGGGGACTGCTCCCTTCACCCGACGTGCTATCAGTATTTGGTGCTTGGAGTACAGCTGGAAAACCTGGCCTTGGTCCTACCACCTTCATGATTGGTTTTCCGCCAACTCCTGAGCCATGCTGAGACGATCCAAAAACATTGAACATCTTCGTGAAGGCCTTTCTAGTGCCAATCTTCTGCACCCTTTTGATTGGACGTTTCATTGCTCCAACCTTGCATCCAGATGCGCTCAAACGACACAACCTCCTATACCCAGCTCTATATCCCTTCTTCCAAAGAGCCATAAGAATTTTAGAGGCAGTAACATTCTCCACCTCTACCTTTTCCAATGGTCCCTCACTTCCCGGAACAAACCCATCCATATCTGAAGACCTTTCCATCTTTTTTGACACCACTTCGTCGAGGTAGTCTTCCGAGATCCAGGGTAAGTTCCTCTTAGAGGAAGGATTGTCATCATTGCTTGGTCCTTCACCAGGATACCCTTTTGTGCTGTCAAAGATCTTACCAGTAGTGCGGTCCTGCATAGAGAAATTAGAAGCCACGCGGGAGTACACTGACCACAAGAAAATCCTTGTGTCCGCCAGTCTTGATGACCCACTGGATGTCTCCTCTTCCGGAGAGACTTCTGGCGCTTTGCCATCCCCTCCAGTGTCACCACTTGTCTCACCTCCAGCATCTTCAATGGGAATAAGGGATTCATTGTTCCCTTGATCAAGTACCGCATCCTCTGGTCCAAGAACTTCCAGCACCGCTGTCGAAGGATCCACCTCTTCATCAGCATCGTCGTCCATCCTTTTCCAGAAAGCCTCCAATTGGTCCGCACAAGTCGCCGCTTGAAGGAACTCCATCAACCGGGCCCTCCCGCGCTGCCAGAGAAATTCCGAAACCATCACCGACCCCTGGGCTCCAAGATTCAAGAACGGGTGAACCAATTTGGCTACCCTCGCCATAAGTTCAATGTGAACTTCCATGCCTGGACTGCGACTCCAATCATAGGCAATTGCCTCCATAGCAGTTCCAAACTTGTCAGTATTTTTGAATTCCCCTTCCAGACCAGGAGACAACAAGGCACCCATCACCGAAAGAGGGTAATTTCCCACCGCCGGCAAGCACGGGTTGTCATGGAACGAATGATGCAGGTCACAATAATGTCCTTGATCTCTCCTTTGAAAAAGGAGTGCTCCAGTCCCTAGCTGGGCATTCATTTCATCCACTTGAACCATTTCAGCACATATCCTCTGTGCCATGTACGCCATTGCTGGCCAGACGGAACGATCGGTAAGACCGCGACGCATAACCCAATCAGTTGTTGGCGACTGAATCAGCGTCCTTGGATCATACACCAGAACTACCATCGCACCGTCACCCATTGACTGATCAGCATCGTCCTCCAGTGCCAGGTTCTCATCCTGTTCGCTTGCACCCTCGGATGACATGCTAATAACCAAATTTCGATCCATCTTATTGGACCCTTTTTGGCAGTCTCTTTGCCCCACAGGCAACTTGCCAACAGCAACCTTCCAATAAATCCGAGTCAGAAGGCCTTTAACCAGCAATTGCTGAAGGTCATTCTTCACCGGACAAACATCCAATATCTTCGCACCATCACCACGGAGTTCATTGCTCCCACCTTCTCCTTCTTTTTGGTCAGTCTCCTCGCCAGAAATTTGTACTGCTCCTTCCGGCGCCGTCTCCTGTCCAGCCACTTCTTGCCCAGGAAGAACTTGAGCGCTTTCAGAGACATTCACCTGTCCAGCAACACCTTGCCCAGGTAAAACCTCATCCGTGGAGCCCACCGCCAGCGAACCAACCATAACTGAGCCATCCCTTGCTCTTTTTTGAGACCGTTCAGCTCGACGAGAAGGTTGTGGTAGCGAAAAAACTTGTGAAGTCACTTCTTGGCGGGTCTCCCCCCGCGACGCTTTGTCGCGCCCTTCGCCAAGGTGAACCGATTTTTTCGGCCCGTCATTGGAGCCTGAAGAACCACTCTGCGGAACATTGCCACGACTCGCAGTTCTCTGTGAATCCCTTTCTTGCAAGAAGATTTCCTTCAGGCGTTGCGCGGCATTGGTCTCCTCCTCGCTTGAATCGCTTGAGGAAGCGGCATACGAGACCAAGGCCTCCGCCTGTTCATCATCATCCACCACATCTGCCCACGCTCTGCTGAACCGATACGACAACCCACCACGAGGCTTCAGTTCCAGTGGCTTCGGCTTTTCCACCACTTCCGCCGGTTGCACTCGTCGTTGTGATCGAGAGCGTGGCACCTGTCGCACCTGTTTTTTGTCCAGCAAGGGCCTTCCCCTTCTCACAGGGTTTGATCTTGACCGATACTT